TGTCACGGGAGGGAAAATGGCCACGGATCCTGTTTGTCACCCGATCCGGCGTTCGCGAACGGAAGCAAAATTTTGCAAACGGAGCTGTACGTGACCCAAATTGGTCGTGAACAGAAGCGTTCGTGACCCGAGGTACCACTGTATTTATAGACTGCCCCCATCAGCAAAGTCCTCAAGGTGCTTTGCAGGCAAACGAAAGCATTAAAACAAAATCAAATGTCTGTCTAACCCAGGCAGCCCTTATGCTTATCAGCATCATCCACTCTGTGCAACATAATTTTTAAAGCTTGAAAGACTTTGGTTGTTCTTAATCTCGGGACAAGGTATTCCAAAGGGTGGGTGCCACCACTGAGAAGGCAAGTCACTGGGCTCACCCCCCACCCCACCTCTTGTGGGGCAGGAACCCTCAGCATGCCATCCATCTGTGGGACAGGCCAAGTCTGGATACCCATAGAGGGCTTTGAAGGTGATAACCCACGCTTTGAACACGACCCACAAGTTCAGCATCCATAGCTTATGTGTAATATTGCTGAATCAATTAGAAGATGGATTGCTGCATTTTAGACCTGTTGAAGCTTTTGAGTAATCCTTGAGGGCCGCCCCATGGAAAGCATCTTACAGTAGTCTATACCTAAGATACTCAAAGGAGTTGCAAATGCAATTTCATTCAGTCTCCACACCACCTCTCTTACTGAGGTTCTTCTTGAAATGGTGCTTTTTATCCCTTAATGAGGTTTGTGGAATCTCCTGTCTCTCCGAGGGCAGCGCCTGGAATGAAATTGCAAAAGCCTCATCTGTTCTTCATTAAGTGTCTCCCTCCCACTTCGAATCTTGGATGGAACTTTTAATAGGACATGTGTTTTGTATATAAATAAGCCCTGGTTGAGGCTTTTGTCTGTTCTCTTTCAAAGTTTACTCAAGAAAAACGCACATTTGCCACCTAAAATTTAAGCAGCTGTCAAGTGTAGTACATACAGATTCTTTTAGGAGTGGGAGAGGCTAAGAGGTTGTTCAGAATGCTGAAAGTTTATTTGCTCTGGGATTGTCTATCAGGTCCTTGCTTTTCTCGCTCTGACATGGGCAGAATCCAGCTATATCCTTTTGATTTGTCTTTCTTTATTCAAAGTAGTTTAGGGTAAAAGCAAAACTAGGCACAAGGGAAGGAAAGCAGCACACCTTGTTGTAAGTGTAAACTGGTCAGGTTCTTACCTGTTCTCCTTCCCTTCACCTCTCCATTTAGGGCAGAAACAACTTGTTCCACACCTTGCTCATGTTCCTGTACATCATAAAGACTAAAGAATCTGGGATGCTCGGGTAGGTATGGGGTTCGACATATCTCTGCCCCCACAGCTAATTTAATAGCCTGCTTTGGGGGAAGGAGTGGAGGAACAGATAAAGCATATCTCTGGCATTCCTCCTTAGTGCCCAAAGTTCAACTCTTCCTATGGCTGAATCCTCTATTAATCCACACTTCCTGGGTTTACATGGCACTTGTGATTACTCTAAAGCTAATGACAGTGTGCCTGCAAAACGTCCATGACCATTTTAATGCTACAGATGCTAGCACTCCTTGTCTAGAAGGCTTTATTCAACATTACTTGATCGTGTGCCCTCTAAACGGGTTGGGCTTCGGCTCTGGAACGTGGCCATTCACGGGGCTGGCTCTTGGCCCAAGTTTTGAAAGTGCTGGCTTCTCTCACGCTTGAGTCAGAGGCACGGGGAGAAAGAAGTGGTGCAGACCATGGGAAAGGATAGGGAAGTCCTCAGCATGGAACTACCAAGATTTGGAATTAATTTTTATCGGAGGATATTGTATGGAACTTGGGAGTTCTGGTGAATTGAAAAATAAAAGTGGTGTGGAAACGGTAGCTGTGACACACAAGTGAGGAGATGCAATGCTGTGGAATCTGTAGGAGCACCTGTCTGCCACAGGTGAAAGCAGCCGTGGCTTTTTCCAGGGTTGCACAGCTGCTGCACAAGTTCTGGCTTTGCCTTCTGAAGCGTTGCAAAGCTCTAGTAAGAATCCCAGCTAATAAACTAATATTGACTCCTGGTAACCAATATTTGATTTTAACTATCTGTAAGCCATCTGGAGTTCCTTAACCGAGGTGGGGATAAATGTGGCTGTTATGCATAAGCGTTTAATTTTGTGGTGTTCTAACTGCTTTTGCTGTATATTAAGCCTTGATCCGAAAGAAAAGGCACTATGCACCCAGAACAGCTTCACTAGCAGTTACAGTTAACTGCTTCAACATTTAAAGTTGAGATGGAAGTAAGACCCTTGATCCAGAGTAACTAGATTATTCTAGTGCTGTATTACTCAGCCTAAAGCAACGATAGACATCCTATCCACAGTGTAGCTTTCCCAGACGAGAGGTAGTCTTATAATGCTCTTATCACGCGGTGTGCTAGTTCACCACTTTGCGTCTTGTCGTCGTCTTTGGTCAAGCTGCGTTGACATGTTTTGTAGAACATCAAATTTTAGCCTGTCAAAGGAGGATGTACACCAGTGTTTCTCAACCTTGGCCACTTGAAGATGTGTGGACTTCAACTCCCAGAATTCCCCAGCCAGCTATGCT